AAAAAAAAAAAAGAAAAGAAAGCAGGTGAAAAATCATAAACCCCCGAGCTGGGTGCAACACCTTAGAAGCACTTGCGGTGGACAATGCCTGGGCCGGACTCGTCGTACTCCTGCTTGGAGATCCACATCTGTTGGAAGGTGGAAAGTGACGCCAAGATGGATCCACCAATCCATACGGAGTACTTCCTCTCGGGAGGAGCGATGATCTTGATCTTGATGGTCGATGGGGCCAGAGCAGTGATTTCCTTCTGCATGCGATCAGCGATACCCGGGTACATGGTGGTACCACCGGAGAGTACGGTGTTGGCGTACAGATCCTTACGGATGTCGACGTCGCACTTCATGATGGAGTTGTACACGGTTTCGTGGATACCGCAAGATTCCATACCCAAGAAGGATGGCTGGAACAGAGCTTCTGGGCAACGGAACCTCTCGTTACCGATGGTGATGACCTGTCCATCAGGCAACTCGTAGCTCTTTTCGAGGGAGGTGCTAGCGGCAGCGGTAGCCATTTCCTGTTCGAAGTCCAGGGCGACATAGCAAAGCTTTTCCTTAATGTCGCGAACGATTTCTCGCTCAGCCGTGGTGGTGAAGCTGTAGCCTCTCTCGGTAAGGATCTTCATGAGGTAGTCGGTCAAATCGCGACCGGCCAAGTCCAGACGGAGGATGGCATGAGGAAGGGCGTAACCTTCGTAGATGGGTACGGTGTGAGAGACACCATCTCCAGAGTCCAAGACGATACCGGTGGTACGACCGGAGGCGTACAGGGACAGCACGGCCTGGATGGCGACGTACATAGCAGGGCTGTTGAAGGTTTCGAACATGATCTGGGTCATCTTTTCACGGTTAGCTTTCGGGTTCAAGGGGGCCTCGGTGAGAAGAACTGGATGTTCCTCAGGCGCAACTCGTAATTCGTTGTAGAAGGTATGATGCCATATCTTCTCCATATCGTCCCAATTGGTAATTATACCATGTTCTATAGGATATTTTAAGGTAAGTATACCTCTTTTACTTTGAGCCTCGTCCCCTACGTAGCTGTCCTTTTGACCCATACCGACCATCACCCCCTGGAATAATTATTGAAAACGTTAGTGGGGCTCGATATTAAGTAGGGTTATTTATTGGTATTGATTTTAAAAATTGCTATACCTGATGACGTGGGCGGCCAACAATGCTGGGGAAGACAGCACGCGGTGCGTCATCTCCAGCGAATCCCGCCTTGCACATACCGGACCCATTGTCCACGACTAATGCCGCAACATCATCATCACACATCTTGGTTGGTTATTAGCGTTACCTTCTGTAGAGATTGAATGAGATGTATGGAATTGAAAATTTTTCGCGATACTCTCAGTTGTAATTGCCTTTTTTTTGTTTTCTGTTAGTTTGATTGTTAGTCAGGTATTACAATTTTTACGTAACTTTTACTTCTTCACAGGCATTCTAATTTTTCTCGTTTTCAGAATTAAATGGACAAGATGAGATAATTTGTAAGATGGTTAAATAATATGCGGAGACGAAAGGAGCAAAATCATTAATGAGTGCAGTACTAAAACTACAGTAAGAGATAAGTAAAAGAAAAAAAAGAGAGGAAACAATTACAGCGATCAATTAAAATGTAAAAATACGTAAAAGAGTATTAACTATGAAATAGGATGAAACAAGCACGTGTTACTGAGATAAATATTCTCTAAAATTTCAGTACAAACAAAAAGCTATTAATTTAAGCAAATTGTTAATCGTAACAATTAATCCACATATTAATACTACCTAATTAGTAATTATAAAAAAATTCTATTATAATTAACGCACGATATATACAACCAAAAGGTATAGCTCCAAAGAAAAGGAGAAAAATAGTATGTATTAAACTCGGCATAAAAAAAATTAATAATAAAAGACTGTCTACTAAAACCAGCAGTAGCAGCGAATAATTATAAAAGCACAAGCATCGCTGTACATCACATTCGCGAAACGTCACTTCACAATATCGTACAAGACATGCAAAATCCTGGAACGACTGCTTTCGGTCCTCGTACAGTCTCTCCTGGCAAGTTTGACACCGATTTCCTTCTGAAGTCACTGTAACCCCGTAAAGTACACCTCGTGGAAAGCTTCCGTACAATAGTGTTAAGTCTCTACTTCACTGCTTCCTGTTCTTCGATATGCCCGAGGACCAAGGCAGTCGTCCGCAAGTACCATGCGCAACCCTCGTCTCGATCCAGCGATCAAGAAGAAAGCTCACCGGTACACACTATCACGCTAGAAGCGGATGCAAATGAACGGGGACACTCGTACGATTTACCGTTCACTAATGAGAGATCGGCAACAGTCGCTTAGGGCGTACGTCGTGCAAGAGACCGAGAGCGGCGAGTGGCACAGTGCCGGCTCTGTGGGGTCCCTTTATCCATATCGGTTCGCAGCCGAAAATAGCGATCCGCCCCTTAGATGGAAATCTATCGTGCATTAACACTCGTCTCGGCCCGCCGCCGCCGCCTAGTCCTTAGCCGCCCTAACCGTGACGCCGAGAGGGAGAGACGCCGTGCGTCGCGACGAGGCGGCGGCCGACGGCCCCCCAATCCAAATAAGGACTCGTCACGCGCCAGGGCCGTCTCTCGCCGGGCGCTAATCGGCCGAGGGTCGAAGGGCACCGATGTTTCACCCGATTCACCCTTGGATTTATGAGTTCTGGTAAGGATTTATTGACCGCGATAGGTATTTACGGTTCAGTTCGGTTTTCAATGGGTATAGTATGATTTGTAAGTGTTTTTCTTGACATCGTTATTTTGATGTTTAAATGGAAAGCTTTTGATTGATTTAGGTTTTCAATTTATTTTATTAGATTATGTTTAAGTGGAAAGATGGAATCGATGTTTAAGTATTTAATTAATTTTATTGTGTTCAAATTTGAGTTAACGTATGAGTATTCAATTAGTTTTAATATGAGTATTAAATAAACTTTAAGTTAATTTAAATTTAAGTACCCTATTATTTTTTATATTCTTATGTTCAGTTACTACATTATGAGTATGAAATTAATTTTATCTAAACAAGGATAGGCATTGTTGGAATTGTTCAGATTTTAAAAGAGAAATTACTTTCTTGTGAAGGAAGTCTATAGGTGTATAGGAGGTTTTTAAGGTGTTAGGTTGTGCTTCATAAAGAGAAGATTCGACAAAATGGATCTCGATGTTTATAATACGTACGGTTAATAAAAGTTTTGATTAGATTTGTATTATTTTTGAGTTCAATGTGGGGAGATAAACAACCAGATAATAAGAAAGAATATGGGAAAGTGATGTGCCTAAGTTTCCTATGTATAAAATGATTAAGTTTTTCTAATAAAATTGAATTTACAATTAAAATTAAATTAGATTTTGTACAGGCAACTTTTTGTAATTTTTCTTGCTATAAATTGTATCATAAATTACCACAAATCTGTAACAAATTTTAAAAATTAAACGCGTGAAGCATCAATAATATCTTAAGATTGACTAATTTTATTATTAAATGGAATAATAAAGCCTGGAGTACAAAAATTAAACAGCCTTCGAAATAAAATAATTAATAAACTGATTCATCTCTTTAAATAACAGGAGGTATATTTATCAAGCTAATATATTAGAGTATATTTATCAAAATATTAAAGTATTATCTCTACAAAATATATTGATTAATAACCAATCTAATTTCCTGATCGGTAATTTTTTATATTTTCGCTAAATTCTATCAATTCAATTATTTTATTAATTTTAAATTTTTTATGGTGAAAAATAAATTTTCATATATTTTCATCAACATTATTACTACTAACCTGTAATGCATAAAGAAAATATTAACATAACATAATATAAAGTAATACTAATTAAATTGTTATAATTTAAAAGATATATATTAACTATTAAATTTCTACTCCAACAAAAGTCAAAATAAATTCAAAGTTCTCAAACAATGAATTTCAAAATTCCAATATAACCAAAATTAATTTTAAAGTCCGATTGATTTAAAAATTAATTTCAAGATCTCATTATATCCGAAATTAATTTTAAAACCTGATTATTTAAAAAATTAATTTCAAAATCCAACTATACTGAAAATTAATTTGAAGATGTTATTATATTCAAAAATACTAGCATGCTCTTAGTCACCGCAAGAAGAAAGCCATCTAAAACCCTCATATCGACAGGTTCAAGAGTCCCAATATCAACGAAATCATTATCGCGAAACAGAGACTTTATATCGCGGCTGTCATTCATAATCATAAATGCATAGGCGAGTTCGCATGCCACGGCGTGCTAACGATAATAATCTGGATTATAGTCGGGACGCGACGCCATTCTCAGTGTTAAACGATCCGAGATTTATGGTCGCACGAAACACCAGTGAAATATCGGACGGTTGATGAAAAGTATATAGAATCGAATTATTAGCCGATTAGGCTGCCTTCTATAATTGGAAGTGCACGGGGCGACCACGTAGCTCGAGCCACCACCGATCCCCTCCACCTTTTTGCAAGAGCCACCGACGAACCGTGCGTTCGATTCGCAGATTCGCATTGCTGAGTTTCAACCCCGAAACGGCGCGTCTTTGTCGCAAAACGAACTTTCACACGGGATCCCATGTACGTATACGGTGATTCGATAGATCTACCAACAGTTCGCAAGTTTTGTGACCGTGCTGGAAGATGACAATCGACGAGATCATCGAAGGTGATACGATTTTCATTTATATACGAATATCGCTGAGAATTCGAAATATTTTCGCGTAGTCCACCTCTGTACTAGCATTTTGACTATAATATAATCACGTTTCGTTATTGTAGTCGATATTTGACCTATGTGTAGGTATATTGACGTATGCGTAGGTAGAACTGCAAGAATTTGAAGAGATTAAGCTGAAATATTCGTAGAAGAGTGGAAGAATTTCGAAGGACTAAATTGTCTTTTATACATATAAATATACGTGTAATTGATGAGTCATTAAGGAAATTTGATAAAATGAAAATGAACATGAAAATATTAAATTAGAAAGATATTGAGAAGTACACGATAAAGTCGTTATAGATGTCTATGAGAAAATTTGTCGACTTGTTTCATATGTGTATATGATATTCAGAAATTTGGTAACTGATCAGCGTGATAAATAAAAATTGCAGGTACCGTGGTGCAAAAGACACAAACAGGAAAAGCAGTCAACGTTTGGACTACGCTAAGGGAAAAAGCCAACATTGCGAGGGAATGTGTTCCTGGATGAGCGTGCGTCTACTTTTGGCTAGATTGGCAATGAAGTTTGCGATAACGTAAAGAAGATCGTTTGGATACCCCGGTAATTTTGATAGAAGCAAATGAGTTACTCCTTCGCATAATTCAACCCATGCATGGTAGATCATGTATACTACTACCCCTTCCAAAATGTTATTTATCTTCAATATATTAGTGTCGGTAGATTTTTATACGAGAACTTAATAAACGAATTTTTCCTAGAATCCTTTTAGTGTATAAAACCTGTTACTCCTATTTTTCATCCCGTTTTCGTTGATCTCTGCAAAATTTTGATCTAGTGCAGCCATTAATACGGATGTACAGTATTCGATGGCTCGCCCCTATTTTTGAATTCATCCTTAATATTGTACAGTGCTCAATTACAAATGCACGATAACGTCAAGACACGAACCGATCTGCACCTTATCATAACATATTTTGGTCGTAATACAGTGTGGAATAATCTTTTAATTGATTAGAAAGAGATATTTGTCGATTCGGCCGAACGATTAGACTGTTCAGGACTGAAAACCGATGTTCCGGATATACGAAAGAATTGGAAATGAATCGATCTACAAACGTATCGATATTCAGGGAATCGTAAAATGAAGAGCTACGTTTTGATTAGTTGTAAGAATATAAGACTGATTTATTCCGTAGATGTAAACTTATATACAAAAGATGACGTATATGTTCAGACCATGTTCGTCGGAAAAAATCTCACCGCCACGTAGAAACAGAGCCGATAGACTTGAACTAACGGAGACGCAACTAGACGAAGCGGTACGGCAGTGAACGGTGTGTTTTGGGATAAGGTGTAGCAATAACAATATCGATAGTAATAATAATTTGGATCGAGCATAACAGCTTAGAAGCACTTGCGGTGAACGATGCCTGGGCCGGACTCGTCGTACTCCTGCTTGGAGATCCACATCTGTTGGAAAGTGGACAGGGAAGCCAGGATGGATCCACCGATCCATACGGAGTATTTCCTCTCGGGAGGAGCGATGATCTTGATCTTGATGGTCGATGGGGCCAGGGCAGTGATTTCCTTCTGCATACGGTCAGCGATACCGGGGTACATGGTGGTACCGCCGGAGAGTACGTTGTTGGCGTACAGATCCTTACGGATGTCGACGTCGCACTTCATGATGGAATTGTACACGGTTTCGTGGATACCGCAGGATTCCATACCCAAGAAGGATGGCTGGAACAGAGCTTCTGGGCAACGGAACCTCTCGTTACCGATGGTGATGACCTGTCCATCAGGCAACTCGTAGCTCTTCTCGAGGGAGGTGCTAGCGGCAGCGGTAGCCATTTCCTGTTCGAAGTCCAGGGCGACATAGCAAAGCTTTTCCTTAATGTCGCGGACGATTTCTCGCTCAGCCGTGGTGGTGAAGCTGTAGCCTCTCTCGGTAAGGATCTTCATGAGGTAGTCGGTCAAATCGCGACCGGCCAAGTCCAGACGGAGGATGGCATGAGGAAGGGCGTAACCTTCGTAGATGGGTACGGTGTGAGAGACACCATCTCCAGAGTCCAAGACGATACCGGTGGTACGACCGGAGGCGTACAGGGACAGCACGGCCTGGATGGCGACGTACATGGCAGGGCTGTTGAAGGTTTCGAACATGATCTGGGTCATCTTTTCACGGTTAGCTTTCGGGTTCAAGGGGGCCTCGGTGAGAAGGACTGGGTGTTCCTCAGGGGCAACACGTAGTTCGTTGTAGAAGGTGTGGTGCCAGATCTTCTCCATATCATCCCAGTTGGTGATGATACCGTGCTCGATCGGGTATTTCAAGGTGAGGATACCTCTCTTGCTCTGGGCCTCGTCGCCGACATAGCTGTCTTTCTGACCCATACCGACCATCACACCCTGATGTCTGGGGCGACCTACGATCGAGGGGAAGACGGCACGGGGAGCGTCGTCTCCGGCGAAACCGGCCTTGCACATACCGGATCCATTGTCGACAACAAGGGCAGCTACTTCGTCGTCACACATTTTGCTTTTTCTTCGATTTTATTGCTCTGGAACAAAAATCGTAGTCGTTTTTATTTTCTCATTATCTCTGATTTGATACAGCTGTTTGAATACTTTGTATCATGTCTAGCGTCATCAAAATATTTGATCGTATCAAATACCTATCTGTATTACCAAAGATACTGTTTAAAGTATCTTTAATTCTTTAGTTTTCCTCTAATTGGTTTCAATCATTTGTCACAAACTACTTAGTCGATCTGAACATTTCCTCAAAGAAGAAATTCATTTTACGCGATGAAAAAACACGGCCACCCTCACAGATACGAACATAACCATAAAATCAGGAATCGAAGTTCCATCTTCCCTTTAAGTAATCCAATATCCCGAAAAAAGTAATCTAAGTCTTATCGCAACAACTAGAAGATGATTTTTACAATGAATAATTATCAAGAATTTTTAAATCTACTATGGAACTATGTACTGGACCATGTACTAAACAATCTATCAGAGTCTACACGAACGATAAATTTTGTTCAAACTGCAAAATAACATGTCTCAACTCAAATCGAATCATTCTCCGAATCGAACAATCGTAATCGAAGAAAAATGAAGGAAGCAAAGAAAATTCAAAATAATTCCTCGAGGAAGCAAAAAATAATCGTTCACTGAACAAATGCTGTTCAGCCATGAAATACGTATGTATAAAATCAGGGGGACGTAGTGAAACAGTATAGGCAACGTGTGGCACAGTGGAGTTTCCGCGGAAAGCGTCGATGCTCGCCAGAATTGACCCAGTTGCCTATAAAACGATAGGCAAGCGGCCCCGGCGTCGCGACACTATTTCGGTGCGCCGCGGCGCTAACTTTAGACGTACGTCCGACGGACGATCCCTAATAAGTGCAAGCAACGATTATGGTGGGTAACACCGTCTCCGCTCGCCGCGGCTCCGCTCGGACCACGAGGGATAAAGCATAACGACGAGGCCCGCGCGTGCCAAAATTATGCTCTGCTCACAAAAAGACGAACTTCACACACGGGCAAAGACCTCGAATATGCCTAAACATGACGATAGAGTCGGCCATTCGCCCCGTACCGCGTATTTTTGGCACTCATGATTAGCTGCTTAGAAGAATTTCCGATTCGAGGCGAGATATGAACGAGTGAAACGGTAATACCTTTGTGAAGAAACGGCAGAAACTAAGGTATCGATAAGATATCTAGATAATTCGTCGGTGGGGAGCATTACTCGTGGTGGAAGCGAAGATTCCTCGAGTTTTTTTTAGAACGAAAGGAAGTTAGACCAAACTTTTGTTTTGAAATTTGATATAATATTCTTGGATCGTGAATTATGTTGGAGAATGGTTTATAGGTTGGTTATCGAAGTTTGTGAGATCTTGATATTTAGAGATGTAAAGGTATTATGTAACTTTTCTTTGATGATCGGATGAAAAGTTTTGTTAGTTTGACGGAATTGTTATGCAATTTTAATGTTAAATGATATTTCAATGTCACTGTACGACATTGTGCAATCAGTTCCTTTAAAATTGACGTTTATAGCAATTGGAGATGTAACTTGAGCAATTTTTCTATTTAATAAGAAGAGAAAATTTTATCTAGTCAAAAAATAACATTTGCATATTTTTAAGAAGCTGATAACGTCAAAAAATATTTTTAACTACGATTAATAGAAAGAAGAAGCTTTCGGAAAGAGTAAATATTTTCGATGCTTTGCGTTTAATTTAATACTTTACATCAATGAATAATTTATCATTAAACATTAAAATTAATAAAATTGAGGAGTTAGAATGAATTAATGAGATGACTAATGATGAAGTAGGATGTATCCTTGGATGCTTTCGGTTACAAGAACGAGAAATACTTGCACACTATTTTCAAGGAAGAATCATCTAACTTAATCACCAATATCTTAAACAAATTACTTTAATACTTAAACAAAACAAATCTAAAACGTCAATTAAATCAGACAACTGTTCACCTATCACTTGTCTAAATTTCTTATTAACTAATGTAAAAGAACCAGCACCAAACTCAAATTCTAATTTAAAGTCTAACTGAAGCATGCAGTATTTACGCACCAGTGATCCAAAATCTAGATCTCGAATTCTGAGATATCGATCAGTTCACGAACTTCAGCCAACAAATCTACGATATTACTTCTCGTTCTCGACACGCGAACGCAATTAACCCTCGATGCTATTTCAGATGCGAGATACCGGAAGGAAACTCGACCGCTCCCTTAAAAGTCTAATAACGTATCCACTACGCCCCCAAAGAGGCTTCTTCGACTCGAGGTATCGATCGACGATCCCAAGATCCCCGAACGAATAAAGGAATTAATCGCGAAGGATCGATCGAGTACCGGATATCGTAGACGGCGTCGAGGGTTCAGGAGGTAGCCGATAATGTCCGTGATAAACGAAAGATCGTTTCCAGAGAACAGTTTCTACGTACCGTGCACGGGACAGAGTTGGAGTGGCGTCTGTGCCTCGGGAGCGTCCCGACGTCGAATATATGCTCTCGTCAGGACGCCCCCGCATTCTCGTGGGATGGTGCTTGCCCGACAGGCACGAAAAAGGCTTGCCTCGCGTGGCGTCGCGACGCCCGCCGAACTAGGCGGCCCCAGGCCCTAAGCGGACCGAGGAAAATACGTCGCTTTGGAAATTCTGAATATCATTCCTCCTCATACTCCTTGCACATTTCGACGTCTCTGTCAGTCTTCTTGGTTAGCCCTCTTTGGCTAACCATCTTTGGCTAGCTACCTATCAGAAGGGTGGTTCTCTCGCGATATCTGCAAATCCCAAATAACGTTCTTTCTCGTACTTCTTGCACATTTCGATGTCTCTGCGAGTCTTCTTTCTTAGCTCTGTTTCGCTAATTATCGTTGACTAATTATCAGAAGGGTGGTTCTTCCAAGGTTGTTGCCTTTGAAGATGTTTCCCTGTTTCATGGACATTGTTCCTTCTTCTGTTTTGGAGAGGCTTCATGGATCGCAGTGAGAATAAACAGTATTAAAAATTTAATCATCATGGATGATAGGAGATTGTTTGCACGAGGTTGTTTCGAGTAGCTTCTTTCTGGCAATGGACGTTTCATATACGCATTGTTTGGCGGTTAAATCGAGAGCATGTGTTGGTGCATAGTTCTCGAAGTTATCGGTGTACGAAACGAGATTTGGTCTTGTTTCATTGCGGAAGTGGATTTTCATACTTCTCTCGTTTTGTTTGAGACCGAAGTGTCTTATAATGTAGGGGCTGACCACGTTTTACTCGCATGGGAAATGATGGAGACAGAAAGCGAGGACAGTGATTTATCTCGCGTACAAATAGACTTCAGCTTAAATTTTCGCAGTAATCGTGTTGGACGTAATATCATAGTTAAGGAAAGTGTAATCTGTTTGCAAACCAGAAAGTCCATGTTTCGATGATTCAGAAATCTCTGTTGTTACTAGGGATTCCTTTTGGACAGAAAAAAGTAAAGCGTAAACGCAATCTCTGTGATTTCTGAATCATGTAATTTAGATAAGGTTTCAAATTCAATATTCCTTCTTTCGACTAATCGAAACGAATATAAACAGTTTCTATTTTATCTTTTTACGTTATTTTTCTATAAATTTCGTAGTATATAATTTGCGCTATTGCTATTAAAAAATATATTATTCTACAAATTACTAATTATTTTATGTTACTTTTTATTTATTTTAGTAGCAAATTCTTTCCTGTACTAATCATGATTGCGATTTGGAAAGAGAATTTATTATTTGATATATAAATATTAATAGAAATTTTAAACTAAGAAATAATATCTGAATATTTGGATCTTGTGAAATAAAATTTTATCATTCTATACGAGTATTATCGAATTTATCAATAACTATTTTCTACTTCAAATGTATTTCACAAGACCTGAAAAAATATCTTTTTCCCACTATAAAGATTCATTTCGGTGTCCTAATCCTAACATATCACAATGTATCATAACCTCATAAATTTCTTCCTTATTCTGAATATTTACTAGAATTTTTATTATAATTCTTGTAAATTTTACTCGCAATATTTATAATCCTTCACAGACTGTACAAATTGCACAAAATTTTGTTACACATGTCTACAATATTCTTTGTTCAATTTCTCGACTACTGACTTAATATCAGGAACATTTTTCTCGAAATATAATATTTATTAAAAGTTTTCTTATAATATTTAATAATACGATACTATGATACTTATGCACATAACTTTTACAAATTTCAGTTTAAAATGTATACATTCTGCGTCATGAAGTTCAAATTATACTAAGCTTTAGCTATGGAAATATTTAATGCTGATAATAACAGGAACAATGGTCCACCATAGAAAATATAGATGTCACGTGTGCATAACGTGGCATGCGTAAAATTTTAGCATAGATTATCTTCAATGCGACGAAATATAACTTTACTCGTTGGCTGACAATGGATCGAGTTTGATCCCTGTGAGATACACGTTCTTCTCTCTTCACCAGATATCAGAGTAAGAGGAATATTTCGAGATTACGCACCAGAACAAAAATAAATCGCAGGATCTGTAACTCTTTTATCGGCCAACCATACGCTTATCGTCGGAAAAGGCTTTCTGGGAATGTAGCGAGGTATTTTTCGACGAAAATTACTAACCTCGTTATCATTCCAGATCACGAATCGAGTTTTCGAGAAAATCAAACTTAACCTTTCTTCGGGAAGCACTCCCGGAGTATCGGAAAAATGTATAATAAAGGGAGCTGTTCAAGAGTAGATTAGTCATAATAGGCAAAGGTCATCAGTTAGGTCTACGTCACAATGATAGTTATTTTAAAACTACTTGAATGCCGACTTTATCCTGCTCTCAGAGACATATTCGGACTTGTGCCACGCGAAGAAAACGGCGATTCTTTTTTACGTACGTTCCTATGTACGCAGACATGTATGAGGTATATTAAGTGTGCATGAAACACGTATACACCAATGTCGATGAGACATTGCGAAGAAAAATTCGGATGTAAATATTTGGCAACGGACAATAGATACGTGAAATTATAATTAAACGAGGGTTCTGTTTGTTGTTTGTACTTGACGTGTATTTCGGTACTCAACTACTTATCTTCCAAACTTGGTTATAAATAACACAAATTCAGTAACGTCCACACGCAATACCAAATTTGGTATACCGCAAAGGGATATAGTTGTCTAGGGAAAAGCTCACGTGTATCCAAAACCTACTGGTAATGGTAAGCTTCTCTGAATATACGTGTATATTTTTATGTGATAATTTATGTCACAGGTGCCTTACCGATAATCTGGATAAGGACGCGTGCTTTAGAGGAATTGAACGCAACATTCTTGAGGAATCCGAACGTGAACATTTTACAAAAAGGATTTTGACCTGGAACAAGGACATCGAATCCGTCAGGGAAACTGAACGTGTCACGTGTATCGGGGGATAATTAACTCATCGGAGCTAAAGGATATAAATAATGGTATGAGAGAATGTATGTTTAATTTGACTTTTTGATATATCGTATAACAATATAGCAATGTAGTGTATAATATTTACAAAATAAATTAAAATAGAAGTATATTGATGGTGAGTTTGCTTTGATTAGCAGGCTAAGTATAGTAAAATTTAAGAAATTTGTCGAAGGTGCGGGGATCTCGAGCAACAGTAAGACAAGCGTAGCTTCCTTCGAAGTTGGTCCAATTCTTTCGAAGGTCCTGTTTCCTTCTTGCATGTCCAGGATGTCTCTTTCATTTCAAAAGATGCATTTGGTAGATACGTAAACCGATCTGGTATCGATCACGAACCTCGTTCCGATACTGGACGAGGATTAGCTGTCCGCGAGCAAACTCTGTACCGAGAACCAACACCTTTGCCGGCTTCCTCGGCCAGGATGAAGTGATGGATGAAAGTAATCTTTACAGCCCGTTATAGAGCTGTAGACATCAACAATGTGGTCAATCAGGTCGTCGTGTCTGGCACAGCGACATAGCTGGCCACAACGATGAATATTCTATGAGATCTGAAGATGATCCAGATACTGTGATATTTAGATAAATTTCCTTTATTGCAGCATGATAATTGCTCAGAGGAAACCGATTGATCGTAATGCTCGATTTCCTTCAAGTCGACAGATGTTTCTTCGACATTTGTGCGACGTTGTTGAATTGCCGACAATGTGCTTAGAAGCATTTACGGTGGACAATGCCAGGGCCGGATTCGTCGTATTCCTGCTTGGAGATCCACATCTGTTGGAAAGTGGACAGGGAAGCCAGGATGGATCCACCGATCCATACGGAGTATTTCCTCTCGGGAGGAGCGATGATCTTGATCTTGATGGTCGATGGGGCCAGGGCAGTGATTTCCTTCTGCATACGGTCGGCGATACCGGGGTACATGGTGGTACCACCGGAGAGTACGTTGTTGGCGTACAGATCCTTACGGATGTCGACGTCGCACTTCATGATGGAGTTGTACACGGTTTCGTGGATACCGCAGGATTCCATACCCAAGAAGGATGGCTGGAACAGAGCTTCTGGGCAACGGAACCTCTCGTTACCGATGGTGATGACCTGTCCATCAGGCAACTCGTAGCTCTTCTCGAGGGAGGTGCTAGCGGCAGCGGTAGCCATTTCCTGTTCGAAGTCCAGGGCGACATAGCAAAGCTTTTCCTTAATGTCGCGGACGATTTCTCGCTCAGCCGTGGTGGTGAAGCTGTAGCCTCTCTCGGTAAGGATCTTCATGAGGTAGTCGGTCAAATCACGACCGGCCAAGTCCAAACGGAGGATGGCATGAGGAAGTGCGTAACCTTCGTAGATGGGTACGGTGTGAGAGACACCATCTCCAGAGTCCAGGACGATACCGGTGGTACGACCGGAGGCGTACAGGGACAGCACGGCCTGGATGGCGACGTACATAGCAGGGCTGTTGAAGGTTTCGAACATGATCTGGGTCATCTTTTCACGGTTAGCTTTCGGGTTCAAGGGGGCCTCGGTGAGAAGGACTGGGTGTTCCTCAGGGGCAACACGTAGTTCGTTGTAGAAGGTGTGGTGCCAGATCTTCTCCATATCATCCCAGTTGGTGATGATACCGTGCTCGATCGGGTATTTCAAGGTGAGGATACCTCTCTTGCTCTGGGCCTCGTCGCCGACATAGCTGTCTTTCTGACCCATACCGACCATCACACCCTGATGTCTGGGGCGACCTACGATCGAGGGGAAGACGGCACGGGGAGCGTCGTCTCCGGCGAAACCGGCCTTGCACATACCGGATCCATTGTCGACAACAAGGGCTGCTACTTCGTCGTCGCACATTTTGCTGCCTTTTTAATGTCTCTGAAAAAAGATATATTGCCGTTATGTATCGTCTGTTATGGCATCAGTTAAACTGCTACAGATTCATTTTCGTTGACGGCCTTCAAGTGGGGCATTTATTTATTCAAAATTTATTATTCGATATCCGGTATTTAGTTAGCGGTATGCCACGACGAAATAGTTAAAAAGTTCATATTAAAATCAGATTAACTCGAATTTGTATTTG